ATGGGGCGCGCGCGCGCGGGTAAGTGTTCGATAAAATTTGATTCCGCCGGCGCGGCGCGACGCGTCGGATGGGCCCGGGATGTGCGTTTGATAAACGAACAGAATACCAAACCGCCACGGTTCACTAGCGCTTTCGTTGGGTTAATACGCTGCGAATTTTGGCGGATCTGAGCCGTTTCCTGAATGCATTAACGCGTAAAAATATCAACCCGTTTTCACGCGATCTACCCCCCTCGCCCGCCGCCGGCGAAAGTGCGCGCGCGATACAACACCGTTGGATATGTTTACGATCGCGGTCTCATGCGCGCGAGCACGGGTTACATTGCGTATTGCGGTTAACGTTGCGTATTACGTCTCGAGACAAAACGGCGCGCGCGCGCGCGCGTTTCCAATATTTTAAATAATGACGAAAAAGAAAGACGGCAAGAAACCGCGCCTGGAATAAGCGGCCTCTCGGCAAATCTGTTATAAGAGCGCGCGGTATATTATTATCGACTTAGTGCCCATAGCTTTACTCTAGTATTATATCCACGTCGCTTGTCTTTACACAGACGTAAATACACATTACGTCTAACGCGCAAACAACAAATACGGTTGCAAACAAATTCCCTCCCCGTCCGCGCGTCTAATTATTCATCTTCCGTCACGCCATGCCGTATCTTACGGTTGCGAGATATAATTCGAGCGGACAGTCCCGTGTACGAAAGTCAAGTCCTGCCCCAAGATAACGCAACGTTAAGGACGCCGTACGTTAAGGTGCATTTACAGAATACGAAATCGTAACGCATGCGCTAAAAAGTTACAGAATAGGCCTGCCGAGGGCATTGTGGTGTACAGATTTGCGGCATGTTTTGGGCATTAGTTTGGGCATTGGGCTTTGCTGGGGCATTATATAGATAAAATAAAATAAAATAAGATAAAGTAATGCCCGTTGGACATTAGTGGGCATTGGCGTACAAGATTTTATTTATTCGACGAGTACGAAAGGAAGAGATGCACGCGCGAAATCGCGCAAAAGTCGCGTATCGTTACATTTTAGAGTTTTATTATGCTACAAGGCAACGTATATTTAACGCGCGTATAAATTATTATTACGACTGTAATTTGAGGGATGTACATACGTTGCTGAAAGTGATTTTCGTAAAAATGTTGCATATTACGTTCGCAGCTTCGTCTGTTGTGATCGTCGGCTAAAATTTATTCGCGGCCGCGATACCTCGTGCAAAAAAAACTGGCGAAAAGAATGTAATAATTTGCTTACAAATACATTACGTATAATTATAAGCTGTCATATAAACGAATTAAAAACATTCGGAATGCGCGGAGGGAATAAACGTGCATTTCTCTTCGAAATTACGTTACATTTCTCTTTATAACGCATTACGAGAAATGAGATCAATTTGTTATAAGACAGAAAAAGTACGCTGCTTAAAGTGCTTTTTAAAATGGCGCCAGTAGAGGTCGGACGATGAAAGATAGATGGAGTGTGCGGATAGGTCTTTTTAACACGTTCGCGCCCCCAATAAATATTATCTGTTAACGCGAAACAATTTAGATGAACGGAATAAACGTTTTAAATCACGCGCGCGGGGTCGCAGAATCTCGTAAAATTAATATCGTTATTTTCGCCTCGCGAAGAAAGCGTCGCGTGACGAATGCACACGTGTGTTCGTTTCGAAATCTCGCGTACGAAAGTAAACCGCACTTGCCGGTTACACGTAAATGATTATTTTAATCGACTTGATGTCTCGTCGAGAAAGATTATACGATATCTTACGGCGTACAGTAGCGATTACGCTTTCTTTTACGTGTTTAGTAACGGAACAATTAATATGCGTAGAAGAACGAGACTGAAGATTACCGAAGATAATAGTTATCGAGCTGAGAATTGACTCGCAGAGATCTGCCGCGGTAACAATCATCAAGTCATTACGCGGTAACAGGTTTTCCGCATTTTTCCCGCTTACAGATGGTAATTGATTGAAAAGGAAAGGAAATACCGGGAGCCGCCGTATCTACGTCGTTAACTATTAACTGCATCATTACTCATAACATTTATGGACGGCGATTTACATTAATCATTCCCGCTAACTTGACATTACGGCAAACCGCGGGTGTTATCTAGACGGGCTAATGCAATTCTGTTCTCATGGCGGTGACCCGCGTTGTGCCCATTGACGCACAACACGCGAAATGATTTTCGTACATCTGCATTATTTAAGCCATATTTCCCGGAAATCGACGCTTCGCGCGATAATGCGCGCCCGTTGAATCGTTTAAAAATGTTATTGTCGCATTACAATCGCGCGGTTTGGTCTTGGGTAAGCGAACAGTACTCGTAACATACATTTTCATGCTTGCTTTGTTTGCACGGACTTAAATTCTGTCTAGGTGGAAACGTGTCTATACCCTTTTCCGAGGGGGAAACCGCTGAGGGCATTGTGGTGTACAGATTTGCGGCATTACCGGGCATTACTAGGGCATTTTTGGGGCATTACGTCTTACTGAGGCATTATAAAGATAAAATAAGATAAATAAGATAAAAGAAGATAATAAGATAAAGTAATGCCCACTGGGCATTAGTGGGCATTGGTGTACAAGATTTTGGTCAGCGGTTTCCCCCTCGCCCCTTTCATTCTGTCCATTCACGATACCGTCTCGACATTCAAAGTGATACGCAATAATCGATTACCAAAAGAGACGGTATATGTACTCTGGGGGGAAAAAAAGACAGCAACCAATTTTGGGGCCCACAATTAGTAATCGAATTATTCGGATTGTTTGTAATACTCGAGGGAGAAACCGCTGAGGGCATTGTGGTGTACAGATTTTCGGCATTACTGGGCATTACTAGGGATTTTTTATCATTAGTTTAGGCATTAGGTCTTGCTGGGGCATTATAAAGATAAAATAAGATAATTACACTGAAAAAAATTTCTGGTTGAATATGGACGAATCAGATAATTCCTTTAGTTAGGATTTACCAGAATTCCTGTAATCCTACAGAAATTCTGGTAAATCCTAAAGGAATTTATCTGATTCGTCCATATTCAACCAGAAAAATTTTTTCAGTGTAGATAAAGTAATGCCCACTGGGCATTAGTGGGCATTGGTGTACAAGATTTTGGTCAGTGGTTTACCCCTCGGTAATACTCTAATCTTTTACGAATTTTACCCCGCGTAACTAAAAATCGCAATTGGCTATTCTACCTACAGACAAGATATTAAAGTGATACTAATCAATTCTCTCCATTAGTTCCGTCGATATTCAGTAACGCAAAGATAATTTTTACGTAAGAGGCACTAACTGAAACGTTAAGTTGCTTAACTAAAAAAAACGGTCAAAATCTTTCCCAGAATAGAGTTACGGACAATCCAAATAATTCGATTACTAATTGTGAGTCCCAAAATGGGTTGCTGTCTTTTTTTCCCGGAGCAGATCAATCTATTGATTTACCGACGCGCCGGGTTTATTCTTAAAGATGCATCTCTGCGGTTGGAGAATAAAGTCCTACAGCTATTCGCTCGCAGTTTCCGCAAGACGGTCTTTTTAAGTCGCTGCAATAAGAAACCGGGGGGGGGGGGGGAAGAGGAAGACGATGAAATTCCGAACGCGGAGCAGGGTCAGGTAAAGGGAAAAGGTGGCCATCGAGGGGAGGCGTGGAGAAGAATCCGTAACTTTCCTCCGGGGGTTGCTATCGTGAACCGCCAGGTGATTCACCCTCGCGAAACTTTGAGGCAGCTGTCTTTTTACTTGTTATCCCGTCGCTCATCTTCGGCCCGCTTCCCTGGATCGGCGCGGCTCATTACGGCTCGCATCTTGCACTTACGTGGAATAGCGAGACCAGATGTTGCCCATCGTACGTGCACTGATACCGATTTTCGATTACCAACCGCGATTATAGCCCCTCTCGCGATCGATGGATTAAATTAATCCTGCCGAAATATAGCTGTCGGATCGTTCGATTTAATTCTTTTACCGTACTTTCTCATTATCACGTAATAATCTATATATTAAAGAACAGCTTGATGTTTCCTTCAAACTTTCTACCGCAGAGAGCATTCCGCCCGAGAAACGTCAGGGAGCCAAAGCCAATACTTTTGCTATACTGCGCTAACAGCTCTGGGAAAAAGAAGACAGCAACCCATTTTGGGGCCTACAATTAGTAGTCGAAGCGTTTGGATTGTTCGTAACTCTAATCTTTTGCGAATTTTACCCCGCGTAACTAAAAATCCCAATTAGCTTTTAAAGTAGTAATACTAATCAATTCTCTCAATTAGTTCTGTCGATATTCAGTAACGCAAAGATAATTTTCGCTTAAGAAGCACTAACCGAAATGTTAAGGGGATGCTGGAGTGATTCTGCACTTTCGCACCTTTTGCACTTAAAACTGTCTGTTTCGTGGAAAGATTTGTGTAATACACAAATTACATGGCACGTGTACAGATGATCGAAAGCAGCTTGCTATTCCGGCTAAATTAAAGAACAATATGACATCACTGAAACTAAGTTTGTAAGTCTAATAAAAAATAATAGTGAGCAACATATACATACAGTACATGTAGTATGTGTGTTGCTCACTATTATTTTTTATTAGACTTACAAACTTAGTTTCAGTGATGCCATATTGTTCTTTCATTTGGCCGGGATAGCAAGCTGCTTTCGATCTGTACACGTAAGCCATTTAATTTGTATATTACACAAATGTTTCCGTGAACTGACAGTTTTTAGGTTAGAAAGGTGCAAAAGTGCAGATTCACTCCAGCATCCCCTTAAGTTGCTGAACTACAAAAAAAAACGGTCAAAATTTTTCCCAGAGTAGAGTTACGAACAATCCAAATAATTCGATTACTAATTGTGGGCCCCAAAATGGGTTGCTATCTTCTTTTTTTTCCCCAGAGAGTGGGGGATAAAACGTATCTGGAGGCGCCATTGTTACAATACTGTTAACTTCTGTTCATTTCGGAATAGCGGCTTAAAGGAAACTGTGAAATTTCAGGCCTAGGTCTGGGCCCGCACACGCCGGAGGAGGTCTTGGCGGCGGCCGCGGCGGCGTTACATCACCATCACCAGGGCCCCGGCGGCCCCACGATGAGGCCCCTGAGGCCGCCGCTACCGCCGGGGATGCTTCACACGTCGCCGCATCCTCTGGCCGCGCATCACCCCCTCACGGCGCCGCATCATCCCCTCGTGCCGCCCCATCATCCGGAGGAGGACGGCGTCGTCGATGACCCCAAGGTTACGCTGGAGGGCAAGGAGCTCTGGGAAAAGTTCCACAAGCTCGGGACGGAAATGGTCATCACGAAGAGTGGCCGGTAAGTGTCAACGTTGGTTCTTTTTTCTCTTCGACATCGTTATCATGATTACGATCCTTTGTCGCTAATTGAACGCTCGCCCGGCTCTCCCGAGAGCAGAGCAATCAGGATCTACCAAGTTTCATCGCACGCGCGCGTCCACGTAAATTTGTAACGTCTAACAGACGTCAAACAGCCGAAGCTGTTGGACTTTAGTCCGCTTATTTATAGCACACTGCCGATTGCGTGGCACGTTATCGAAAATTTCGGTTTCGTTCGGGACGCTTTGACGTTAGTACGGTTTTGACATTAAACGCTGGCGACATTGTTCAGCTAGCGGACACTAGCTTGTGACTTCGCTTCATTTTTCTCCTGCGATGTGAAGAAAACTTATTTTTACCACTACCTTTTATCATCGCCAGAGATGTTGGAAAGTAAGCTAAAATACACGCACTATTACTTACGTTGATTGTAGTTACACAGTAAAAAATCGTGCACGAAAAGACCGGCTAAGGCAAAAATAGCTGAAATAAAAATGTTGCCGTATAAATAGTAGGGGTCTCTACATTCTTTTGTGTTGCAACATTCTCTAAGATTGCTGCACAAAACGCATATAGTTGTCTCCACCACTTATCATACCAATGTGGGTGTGACAATCACAGATACAGCTGTTCCAAATATTACTACTTATTGGGGTTTTGCCAACCTTAAGTAGACATGTGGCAACCATATCGGTCTCTCCGTGTGTGTTAAAATGTTAAAATTTTCTTGTGTTACCAAGATTTGATTCTTACTTCAATGTAAAATTAACGTAAACTGTATATATTATTATTTTCGTAACACTTTTATGTGTTATATTTATGTTAACGTAATAACTTGACTTATGTATGTTAGTTAAAAACTAAATATTATTTTAAGTTCTTTTAACACAACTATTTCACAAAACCAACGAAAACATGTAATATCGACATTTCTTAAAAATTATTTCGACTATTCTGACTTGAGACTATTCGTACAGTTTACTTATCCTGTTTTTATTACATCACACTTAAGGTTGAAAAGACATAAACATAAATGTGAAGTATAGTGTTGATTAATTAACATTTATAATTTGTTAAAAAGTGAACTTTTTTGGGACACAATTAACATTTTATTTTTCGCTGTGTATTGCTTGCTCCCGCGCGAAAATCTTCCTTTGCTGAAATTAAGCAACGAATCATTTCCTCGGACTTTTGCAACCAGAGGTAGCATTTCTTACAGAAATAAAGTTTTTTTTTACATCGAAGGATAGAATCGTAATTTTCGCATGTAAAATTTTTAAGTATGTACATGCAGAAGTTTATAACTTAATTGTTGAGAGACGTAGCCGCGAGCAAGTGCTCTCGAACGAATCTGAGACCTCGCGCAAATGAACATGAGAAAGAGACCTCATGCGGGTTGTCTCAGCTTGCTGATTGATGTTCGCGAGCATACAATGCGAAGTTTCGAAACCCCCCTCGGTAAATTAAATTAAACGCAGACGTTTTAAACAATAAGCCGCTTTACTGAAATAATTTTTCATTAACTCCCACGTACGCGACGCCTGCAGACGCAGAATATCGAGCAAGACGTCTCGGCTAAATATTCGATTCGTTTCCAATCGTTCTCTATCGCGTACAAGGAAAAATATGACGTATCGATTTCATTATCTCCGGGTGCCGCGAGAAGAAAGCTCGCCGCTGCCGGCGAGCAGTTTTATTACACGCGAATCTGCGCGAATGCCCTCGACGAGTTTTTACTTTTCGTTATTGCGCGATCGCGCCACGCTCGTATCGCGCACGCAACGCACACGTGCCCTCCCGCGCACGTGTACGGGGGTGGGTTGCATCACGCGGCATGGGCACTTTCCCGATGACGTGTAGCAGCGCAGCGGTAAAAAGATATCACTGCGAAGTTGCTGGATCCCTTCGCTCGTCGAGCAATTGAAACTTCACACCCCCACCGCCCTCGACCACTCTTTTGTGCCCCCCCCCCTCACTCTCTCTCTCTCTCTCTCGCGCGCGCGCGCCCCCTTCAGCTTTTCCTTTCTTCTTCTCCCGAAGCGTGAATCCATCTACCAGACCCTATTCCGCGAAGCCGTGATCGTTCAGCAGTGGTATTGTGCTAGCGAAGGAAATAGCGCTTGATGTGGAAGGCGGCGAACGAGCGAGCTAAGAAAAGGCAGAGAGAGAGAGAGAGAGAGCCAAAGAGAAAGAGCCGATGAAGAGGTGAGTCTTCCGCGATGATAGGCCGAGCTGCCAGCGGGCAGGTATATCGAGTCTCAATGAAGACGACGGCAAGCTATAATAGCCAAGACTAGAGCACGCGCCCGCGCGACGAAAGGGTGAGCATACACGCTTACATATTTCATGTGCGATATACACAGGTGCTAAAGCGCACGCGTGTACGTGGATTACGGCCACATCGATGTGAAAACGTCGAACGCCCTTCGCGAACGCGTGTATCGGCCGGATTAAATCTTGCTCGCTCTTTGCCTTCGATCTTCGGTTAACGCGCTTTTCCCCGTGTCTCGCGAACGCGCTTGCTCTTCTAATTTGCATGATTAGAGCCGCGACGGCGGGAGACGAGGGCGGGATCGCTTTAAAGGATCTCGCGCTGCGAGATTCGTGGAATTTAGGCAAAACATTTTATCAGCGCTAATTAGCAACGTAATATCCGTACAGAGCGAGAACTCTTAAATTGTTCTACCGAGAAAAAAATATGAATGCAAACAATTCCCGTACAGCACAAACCAGCTTTTTGCGGATATACGGACAATATTGCAAATTACAATGCAACATATAAAGATATTGAAAACGGAGAGATTTTTCGCTAAAAATGTTTCGTGCAAATGAATCCTGCAATCGCGGGACAACATTTTGAAGAACTTTCTTTGAAATTTTACCATACATTTTACTAGTAAAATTAAAAGCTATTTAAGATATTAAAGAATGGACACTAATATAGTCCATTCTTATATATTCAAATTAATTTTAAGGTATTTCCAGTCATTTAAATTAAAGATGATTTTAAGTATAAAATCAGATTATAAACAACAATCATCGTCGAAATTGACAAAGCGGATTGGCAGTTGTTCTGCTCAATGCAAACAAAGGACTGATTCATGCAAATAGTAGTTTGAAGTGATTTAATGTTTTCACTATAATAGCGTTAAGTTACATACGATTATATTTATGTATACCTGTGCGATATACAATGGCTCATGAAACTGATCAAATGTATTACACAACAATTAATTAATTTCAAAAAGACAATCGATGAAAACGATCTTTTAGTACCAATAACATATAAACAAACAAATATCGTGCTACAGGTACCTTCGTTTACGAATTTTCGAAAGAAATCCGCAACAATGATACGATTTAATCAGTTCCGTGAGTCGCTATATATTTTTTGAACGTGAATTCGTATCAAACTTCTGGTTAGAATACTTTTTTTTGTAATTTCACGCGTTTCCTTTCGATGTTTAGCTGTCAGAGTAAAAACGTTTTGTATGTAACATTACTAGATAATCGCAATAACATGGCGTCATTTGACTTATTCCTGAAAAATAATACATTGCAGCGTTTCAATTTTTCTAAAGACGGACATTTTAACGTTGCAGCAACGTCTAGCAACAAATTTGTAACATGATCTTTTAACGAAATTATTCTACGATGTGTCTACAATCTTTCTATATGCGAAGATTCACAAGAGAAATGTCTTGTAGTTTGAGGCTCGAGCTTCCTCCGAGATGTTAAATGTTATTCATTATTCCACATTTAGGCGCGATACTGTCAGTCGAGCCATCAGCAATTTTATTAATGTAACAAGACAGCTTACAATAGTTTTAATGCGCGCTTATCACGTACGATCTTCCAATCTCAGCCGCGCCTTTGATAAATACCAGCTGCCATTTAATATGACAAATAATCGATCGTGATATTTAGTAACTCAATTTGCAACACCGACGAGCGAGTTGAGCGTATGAAGAAACGGCTGATTTAAAAGTATCGGCAGCATGATTAATTCATACGTATGTAATGACACACGTCGTAATGATTCGTTATCGAACCGTAATAATTATCCCTCTTCGTTGTGTGACAGCTGTTCTACATCTGAAATTTATTCAACGTTTCCGATCTTAAATGCCACAATAAATGGCGCTATGACGCCGTGGACACTCGTGCGAGAGAAATTAACATTTACGGTGACAATGTTAATTTATTACCGTACACGTTTATCTTCGACAGGTTTCGAATTGACGTCGCAATTTGAGTTATTCCTTTCGTTTTTACGAAAATTAACGACAAACTCTTCGACCGTTGGAAGGCGCGATCCTAGTAGTCGCACAGGGTGGAAGTTGAGTGATTAAATAATAGCGAATTCGGTAGCTTGCGCTGGTGCGCACTCAAGGCTTGCTTACTACAACCGATTCTTATGTGTAAGAATCGTCCTAAATAGGGGAACCCGGGGCATAACGGGAACGCTAAGGTTAAAATTAATTTTAAACAAAATGAAAATACATAAATGAATTATTTTTTTACGAAAATATTCTTTGAAATGTCTACTATAAGAAAAAAAAGGGTTTTACTGTGAAAGAATAGTTTAAAAGGACGAAATTTTTATTTTATTGAGACCATGACTTAATCTGATTATCATTTTATGCGGGGCATAATGGGACTCCTCACAAAACTTATATATTTCTTATACATTAATGTTTAAAACTTATTAAAAATGATTTTTTAAATACGCAATAAATATACTAATGTAGTATTGCATTTTAATAATAATAATAATTTATTGATAGCACTTGTTATCACATCTACATGAAACATTATAAGAACAGTAGGTACAAATATGTGTAATATCCTCATTGTTGCTCATTGTTCCTTTCAATGTTGCTGTTAATTTTCAATTTTTTGTTGAGACATGCTCCGTTAACTTAACACTTGCGAGTCAACTAATAAGAAGAGGTTATCTATTGTACCATTATGCCCCAC